CCAGAAATGAAGCCCTCATCCCCTCCCCATACGACACTGAGACCGAGGTAACAACCCCTATTTAACATCACATGTTTCAAAAGATTCCCATTAGAATGCAGGGATATTCAGGTCTCATACCAATTTGGAGGATTGCCAAGTATTATGCCCGTTACTGTACTACTTCCAGTATAGAATATCATGACGCTGGATATTTACTTAACAAGTATGCAGCACATCACCTGGTTACATGTTTACCCGGTTACTGTTACTGGGGAGATGGGGCTACTACTGCCACGTCACGGGGTTGTCAGGGTAACCAGAGACCAGTAAACATTGGTTAACCCGGGAGAAGTGTGATTTAATGAGAATCAGACCTGCAGTTTTATCAGGAGATTGTAATTAGGGCCGCGCTCCTTATATGGGTACAATGTGTTTGTGAGGGGTTGAAGAACTTTAGAGCTGAGACCTGAAGCTCCCTCACAAAACGTTATATTTGACTGGTAAAGTTACAACTATGATTGACAGAATACCAAACACCAGTTTACGATGTATTGTGTCTCAGTACAGAGTAGTTTCACGTGACGAAAGCGTGATTATGTCATTGTGCTCTGTTTATGCTTTGATGGCCTTAGCAACGTTAACGATGGAGTAAAATGATTTATAGATCCAGCCGCTTTCTCTACCGATATAGGAACTGGCGCCTACCCATAAACAGCCTCAATCAGAGACTTTTCAAGATCCAATACACATGACGTTGTTTGCTGGTAGGCGTCTTGAATATCCTGAATCAATAAAACATGGCATGTATATTAAGGAGAAGGGGTCTGGAGTGACCCTCTTCAACAAGCAACCCAAATCTGTTTTGTTGTCGGGTTGCCGCTCGAGGTGTGTGGAATCAATTCATTAACTTACCAACATGTCTAAACAATCCGCCAATCCTGGCAATAAACGTTTTTTGCATGACACCGACCCTGCGCTCAATTAATCTTTCTCTCAGCCGCGAGGATATTTTCAGGGGAGGTTGGCCCCAGAGATGTTCGATCCCTTTTGAGGCAGGCAGATAGGTATTTAACAATTCCAGGAATGACACATTTGAAGGTATCAATCACTGGCACTGTCCTTAAAAATTTACACTAACTCTCCATCAAAATTATATATTGTGCTAGTTGTTTTACCATTTTGCGTCTAATTTTTTAGACGCTGCGTTAACATTAATATATAGAATTAAGTGCTATTTAATTTTCTCACGAAAAATTGTAATTATTTAACAAATTTCCCGCATCAAGTCGGCACGTTTTTCCCATGAATCTGCAGCTCTGCACGACTACACTCTAAGTACCTGACACGCATCACGCGACGCACACGTGACACACGCAACAACTCACGTGACCCGTAACAAACTTCAAGTTTAGTGATACCGTGCACACGTCTGCTCCAAATAGATCATGATCTGTCTATATAAATAAATACGATAAAAGTGATGAATACAAAATATGATGACCATTCCTGTGCTTGCTTGACTGTAACCGTGTGTTATTTTTACAAATAAACTCAGGGCGTGACTGTTTGACAAGCGGTTAATTGTGCACACTTTTGGAAAACTTTTTAACAAGCTTTTTATGTGCATATCTAAGGAACCGGCACGGAGTAAACAAGACATGGGAAATTACACTGTCAGTGTTACTTTGAGATCCAGAAAGTTCTGGAAACCTGCCACTTTAAAAAACTAACGATTCTTAATATTATAGCCGAAAAAAAAGAATTGTGTTACTTTAAAAAAACTTAAATTAGATTAAATTCAGACAACTGACACCCTTATCTACAAATAATCATGGGAAAGTATTTAGTGAAGAGTCACCTTTGACAGAATCCAAGTGAGTACGATAAAGAATAGAACGAGAGATTGCACAGAGACTGAAATACACCTAAGAAATAACATAACTCCCCAGGTATTTGTTCCACCGTACGTTACCAGCAGTCTACGGTAATCTTACATTCAAACTTTTAATAACGACAGCTGATCTCAGTACGTTGTGGTGTTTATTGATTATACCCGTATTCCTGGTCCAGAGAGAGAGAGAGAGAGAGAGAGAGAGAGAGAGAGAGAGAGAGAGAGAGAGAGAGAGAGAGAGAGAGAGAGAGAGAGAGAGAGAGAGAGAGAGAGAGAGAGAGAGAGAGAGAGAGAGAGAGAGAGAGAGAGAGAGAGAGAGAGAGAGAGAGAGATTATACCCGTATAGGAACCTGTCAGTGCAGCTCTCAGCTGCTTTCCCAATCACTCAGTTGCTAGGCAACCGACAAAACAGCTTGACAAAGCTGCTGGAACACAATATAATATAAAACACCCAATATTGTATTTATGGCGAATGTTTTAATATTGCAATCCCTTCTCTCCTTCCGAAACTATAATGTCGTAGAGTCATTTGCATTAACCACTCTGTCATTCAAAAGAGCAATTTGCGATATAAGAAGAGGCACTCTGCATCGTTAACAGTGAACACTGAAAATCACTGTACCCGCTTTTGTTTCTTTTCGCGCAACGACGAGTGCAAACTGCAAAGTGACCTGGCTCAAGCATTACAGCATTACCAAGGCGACTGAAAACAAAATATTTTATGTCAAATCTTTATTTTTCACTTTAGTTAAGTTATATTAATATAATAAATTCAAATCTTATGATATTGTTATTATCTTAACAGTTACTATTGTAGCTCAAGATTTTAAATTTGTATTCCTTGTATTCCTTGTATTCCTTGTATTCCTTAAAAAGACATTTTTGTAAATACCTGATACTTGATAGCTTAGAAAATGTAGTGCATAAAGAAAACGGATCCATTGTCCAGTCCCCCGACTTTTGCGACATGAATTTATTACTTTATTAACATCATAATGACGCTTTCTGTTGCGGTTAGTAAATTAAAACTACAGCACACGCACAAGATGTCAAATTATCAGCGAGTCATTGTGTTTTCTTTAATAAAACACCCGTAATAAGGTGCTGTATAGTGCTCACTTCAGCGTCACTGCACATTAAACTCTGAGCTGTTACGCCAGATGTGTGGGTTAGAGCCTCAGGGTCGCATTAAAACTCACATACTGAAATATATTGAGACAGCCTCTGAGCCAATAGCCAGCGACCGTCGACCTTAGCAGAGAGAGAGAGAGTCTCTGAGCAGTGAGTCTCAGGTCTTTATGTAGAGTGTAGAGTGTAGCGTGACGTAATGCACAGGAATATATTATTTTGAAATTTAGCACCGGAACCAAAGATCTAAAGTACATTTAATCTGTTACGCAACCAAAAGGTACTCTGTTTCTATATAAGTGTATTTCAGTGCTTTTAATAAATTTTGTGTCTAGTTTTAAATCTAACAAAGCTCTAGAGAAGCAAAAGACAGCTGTGTTGACCACTGTATCACCGCAGATGAGTTGCCAAGAAGAAGGAGGAACATATACTCTATCATTGACGTAGGCTCTATTCTCTCTCTCCAAAAAGACTTAAAATTCTTCAAAATGTCACGTTATCCTGGAAGGGCCGGTACAGCTTGTGATAAAGACAGAGTATTCCAACACAGGTCACATGCCATGCACACAGACATATTGTGTATCTTATATACTGTGTTACTCTACAGAACATGTTCACTGTATGCAATATGTGACTTTATCTGATATATCATTATCTGGGGAGTAGCTGCCAACGGATTATATCTCATATCTTACAAATATCTTATTTCATATATTTTCAGCTCCACTCTCGGTGCTTGCCTGCGTGCAGGTTTTAATCTTTAAATGAGATAGCTCATTAGATCTACTCCATCGTAGGTATAATAACATAACATGCTTTAGAGCCATCTCAACGATTGAATTCAATATTCTACAAAACAAAAAGGTACCCTCCGTTCAATGTTTATCAGTTAGGGCACCGTATTATCGATGGGCCACACAAAAGCTCTAATTTTGTCGGGGAATAAGTTGATATTTCAAAACGATTAACCTGGTTGAGTTCCAATCACAGCCAACTTCCTCCTTAAATCCATTAGCACCACTTCCTGCTCGCAACCACGGTAAAACAGACATGTTGCCATGACAACAGATGTACGGAGAGTGGGCTGAGAGGTCACGTGAGTGATCCTCTAATGCAACACTGGTCATGAGCAGGTGCAGGTAAATTATACCCGTATATTACAAACCATTAGAGGGCCCTGTTGGTGGAGGAGAAGGAGGAGCATGGGGCCCTGTTGGTACGCGGAGACAGGGTTACAGTACATTATACAGTCTTTACAGGTTCAACTTATCAGAGGGGGGTATGATGTAATGAAGACTGTGTACTGGTGATGTGTGCTAAGAATTCGGAATTGTTTGGATAGGCGGTAAGAAATAAATACTGAGAATTATACTGGGTATCTGGAATATTCTGTAATTCTGGTAGAACTTCCCTGCTATTTGCTGTGCCATTTAGATGTTTGTAGTTGTAAGTGGTTAAATTACTTACGATCAATAATTACACAGAATCTGCACGAAGTCCAGTCCTATAACAAGAACCAAACACCGACCATGGTAGATCTGACAGAGAGTACACAATGTTGTGACTTGTGTACTGCAAAGTAAAATGGAGCAGCTTGTTGCGTGACGTGACAGAGATGAAGTGGACTATGATGACTATACATGAGTATTGCATAATACACATGACAGTTATAACAGCTGAATATCACAATATTGTACACGTTGTGACACACTGGAGTTTGATAGGATTACTAGCTGGGAGGTCAACTCAGTTGCTTATATCAGGTGTTGTAACAAGCAGAGTGCTATGGTTACCAAATAACATAGCCCTCAGAATACCAGTGATATAACGGTTTAGTAGTAGTAGCAGTTACAGTTTAGAACTGTAGAAGTAGTAGTTTAGAACTGTAGAAGTAGTAGTTTATCAGTGTAGAAGTAGTAGTTGGGATGATAGAGATGAATTATGGAGAAGTAAGGTGATAGTTACAAGCTACGAGAAATTAATTAAGAATAAAGCGTACCTCTTGTTCAGCAGCAAATCTCTCTTTAGCCGATGCTCTGTGGAGTCCTATCTTCTTCAGAACGTACTAAAATTTGAAGGTATTGATGGTTTTTATCAAGAATTTAACGATACAAATATCAACAGTGCTGGAACATCACAGTATTATATACTAAGTTGCCAAACTCTACGTTAAACTGACCTCTTTTCCTTCGAGGACATGTTTTACTAGCTGGACCTCTCCGTAACTACCCTGACCCAGGAAGCTGATGTAGTCGTAGTTCTCCATTCTTTGACAAGTAGTGTTGTTTGCTACTATAACATCATGTTCAGCTATTCCTTCATTATGTTGAAAGGTTAACTCGAATGAATGATAAAATGAATACAAATTTGTAAAGACTAAATCAATATAATATTACGGCCTAATACTTGCACAAAAAACGCAACTGAGTATGGAGAATTAAACAAATGGTTATTGATTTCTACTGATGTGAAGAAGGTTTGTACTAGCTAGCAGTAGAAGTATGTCACTCTTTTTTTATAAAATAACTGTAATGGCAGCAGATGTAGTTTCCACATTGTTGAAAAGTATGATTCCTTTTAGCTGAGATAGAGTTGACCCAAACCATCACCCAGCAAGATACAGTATGTAAGACCTCCCACAGTACCACTCCATCATTGAAACATTGATCAAAATTGCCTGGAGCAGTACGGATCGAAAGAAAAAACAGTACTTAACAGAGAATAGATCTAGGTTGAAATCAGAAGACTGGCTGCCAACTAGATATTGTATAGTCAATTATCCTTATTGTTTCTCCAAATAAAATTGATGTACTGCCTGACATTGATGTGAGTCCAGTATCATAAGGAGTAAGATTCTTCCTAAGTAGTCTAATCTTTAAAACATCATTGCTATCAACACAAAACAGTCTCACCTTGCGCATCTAATGTACTATTTGAGAACCAAACGTTTTGTGCATTACATAACAAATTTAAAATAAAGGAAATGTGAATTCAAAAACCAAATACTATAAAACATGGATAATAGGTTATAAAATGAAATAAGAATCAAAGTACAAAACATCTCATACCCAACTGGTGATTAATCAAACAGAATTATACTATAATTTAAGAGTCCATACAAACTCTCTCATACATTTAGTAACTGTTAAAGATGGAATGAGCTGGAAAGCTATGAACTTCGTTCGTTTATTCCAGCTTTTACGGTCTGCTCATAAGCAAAATAGAAATTGTGATTTGGGCTTAGTCAGGAGGGACCCTGCCAAGAGATCTTGGATCTTCTATAGTAAGGATCCTTTATAGTAAGGATCATACCCTTCAGTTAACAATCGGTGATTTACGAATATCTTGTACACTGAAAGATTACCAAGGGACTGAAGTCATACCCGGGATCAAATTAAATCCACTGGGTTAATATAAAAGGATTCGCGATCTGTAGGATTCGAACCTACGCGGCCAGAGCCTGATTGATTTTAGTCAATCACCTTAACCACTCGACCAAGACCACACTGATTAACTTTGAATTGTTTTATCAACAATTTGAGTGGCAACTAACATCATGACTAACTTCCATGAGGTTACTTCTCTGGAACTAGGCTTCTCTAACACAAAGTTAAGTTCTTGAGAAACTCCTCCAGCCTTTCTAGACCTTTCCTCCTATTTGTTATTTAGTCGTATTTGGGAACAAATAAATCCAAAGGGTTAGTACAAAAGGATTCGCGATCTGTAGGATTCGAACCTACGCGGGCAGAGCCCAATTGATTTCTAGTCAATCGCCTTAACCACTCGGCCAAGATCGCACTGGTTAACTTTGAATTGTTTTATCAACGATTTGAGTGGCAACTAACATCATGACTAACTTCCATGAGGTTACCATAAGCATGACGCATGTAGTTGATATGATATATATACACACCATGTGTTGCAGCCTTGTTGATAATAAATGCAGCTCATTAGTCATTGAACTCAATTAGTAATTACCTTATCTAAAACTGACAAAGCTACCAAATCGAATTGTGTTGTGGATGACAGATGCAGCATGTTCACAAGATTGTAGAATTAGGTCAAAATTAATTGTTATAAAATTGAATTTTGTCAGTGGCTCAATGGTCTAGGGGTATGATTCTCGCTTTGGGTGCGAGAGGTCCCGGGTTCAAATCCCGGTTGAGCCCATCACTTTTGTATTTTCAAGAAACATACTGCTCCTGTGTCACTCATACAAACTGTTTTCATTTCATTTCTTGTTGGACCCATCTGCCACATGGATTATGTAATGCACCAAATTCAGTAAATTTGTGTGTTTGTGAATAGCTACAGTTGTTAATCACCAGAGACTATCAGAACCAGGTTGCCTTCAGCAAAAATTTGCCAGCTATTTTTAACGTTACTAACCTTAATTCGAGCTAGTCTAGTTATCTTTTCGTATGTCTGCGGAGCTCAAAAATTTTAGCAACACCAACAACCAAGGTGACAGATGTTGACAGACAATTAGAATTTTTAGTACAAATCCGATCAAAGAACAATTATGGTGACATGTAATGAATTATTGATAATCTTTCCATGCAGCTGCGCTGGCCTCACCAATATCTTAGCTACGAGACCATCAGACCTTGATAAAAACTATACTGGTACTGCAGTATAGCGATGAAGAAAATACGGTCAATTAATTGGCTTAATTTGGAATACAACTTTAGCGCTCGACTTTCGAAAACTAAAATGTAAGTAATTCCGTAAAACAACAAAAATATGCGCGCGGCGCTAATAAAAGTTATATTAAATTAAGTTTGTTACAAAATTATCAATTATGTTAATACAAATTTTAAAAACATGTTTGTTCGATAATTTAATTAATAAGCGTGATAAAAATACGAAACATATCACCTATTTATTTGTTTACAAGCACGACGTAATTTCTCGACGTTGATTCACGATGTCAATTGAAAATCCTTCGTTTCTTATTTCGCCAATCTAAGGAAGATTTTTTAGAATTGATGTGCGGCGAGGCCCAGTTGTGCATTGCGCTACAATGCAAGTCTCGACGTGAAAAAAAATTAAAGCTCATTTTACATAATGTACAAAATGTTGAAACTTTAAATATAAAGCGCAAAAATGAAAAATATTTCTAAGGGTTGATCAAATTAGTTTTGCTTTTTATATATCTCAGCAGGAAAATGATTTATTTTATATTTATATTCAATTTTAGCATTTTCAGTATTGGGTCGAATCGATTTTGATAATTTTCAATTGGCATAATCGTAACAAACTTAACATACATTTTATTAGCGCTGTGCACATGTTTTTGTTGTTTTACTGTTTACGGAATTAATTAATTTCTTATAGTTTAGTTTTTCGAAAGTCGAGCGCTGAAGTTGTATTAACGGGTGATACTCGTAAAATATTTATTTCAAGACCGTCGACGAGTCCAACTCGACGCCCGTCTTTGTAGGTTATAAACTAAAAAAAGTTGTCACCTTGGTTGTTGGTGTTGCTAAAATTTTTGAGCTCCGCAGACATACGAAAAGATAACTAGATTAGCTTGAATTAAGGTTAGTAACGTTAAAAATAGCTGGCAAATTTTTACCTGAGGACCCCAGGCTATTATGTTCATTAGCGAATAAAGATTTGGCGGAATGACAGGCTGAGCGCGGCCCAGTAAGCAAATTTTTGCTGAAGGCAACCTGGTTCTGATAGTCTCTGGTGATTAACAACTGTAGCTATTCACAAACATACAAATTTACTGAATTTGGTGCATTACATAATCCATGTGGCAGATGGGTCCAACAAGAAATGAAATGAAAACAGTTTGAAATTTGAATGGGTGACACAGGAGCAGTATGTTTCTTGAAAATACAAAAGTGATGGGCTCAACCGGGATTTGAACCCGGGACCTCTCGCACCCAAAGCGAGAATCATACCCCTAGACCATTGAGCCACTGACAAAATTCAATTTTATAACAATTAATTTTGACCTAATTCTACAATCTTGTGAACATGCTGCATCTGTCATCCACAACACAATTCGATTTGGTAGCTTTGTCAGTTTTAGATAAGGTAATTACTAATTGAGTTCAATGACTAATGAGCTGCATTTATTATCAACAAGGCTACAACACATGGTGTGTATATATCATATCAACTACATGCGTCATGCTTATGGTAACCTCATGGAAGTTAGTCATGTTAGTTGCCACTCAAATCGTTGATAAAACAATTCAAAGTTAACCAGTGCGATCTTGGCCGAGTGGTTAAGGCGATTGACTAGAAATCAATTGGGCTCTGCCCGCGTAGGTTCGAATCCTACAGATCGCGAATCCTTTTGTACTAACCCTTTGGATTTATTTGTTCTCAAATACGACTATAACAAATAGGAGGAAAGGTCTAAAAAGACGGGAGGAGTTTCTCAAGAACTTAACTTTGTGTTAGAGAAGCCTAGCTCCAGAGGAGATACCTTTAGAGACCCAATGTTGGATTTGTTCTTTTCAAACTTTCATAGGAATTACGTTTATACATCAAAAGTTTTTAGCAGCAATTCAAATTCATTTTGTTTAGGTACCTTTTGACATTATAGTGATCAAAGGTCTGTTTAACCATGTTCTTTTGATCTATCATGATGGATCTCCTATTTGGATCTCCCTGTGATTTAATAAATCGACTGATCCCTCTACATTGGGTTTGATATAGTTTGATATCTTTTGTTAAGGAACTCATATTTGTGTATATTGGATTTAAAACTATAAATCGTAAACTTCAAAAAAGATTCAATGGTCAAGTGGATGGAATCGACAAAGAACATTCATTATAAACTATTTCACAGACATTGTGTCTTTACACTTAGACTACAGATACTATAAAGCAAAATGATACTTACAATGGAGTGAATTAGACAACAAGTAGCTTTGAAAGTAATTATTAAATATACCTAGAAATAGTTTGATGACGACTTAACTAATAGAATAAATATGTTTATTCTAGTTAAGTCGTCAACAAACAATTTATATGTATATTTAAGAAACAATTATAAAAAGCAGCAGATTCAGTACACTCACCCTTATTCACACAAAATGGTGTGGAGGAGAAGAAGAAGCTCTTATCATTATCACAAGTAATCACGTGACTACCTATCAGCACGTGATCAGAGTCACATGACACTGTCACCACTGTGCCATGTCTTACAGGAAATGTTGCTGTTGTTAGGAGGTGGTTCACTAATAGAGGGCCGTCACACTGAACTGAAATACAGTGAAGAGACTAATCATTAATAAAAATGACCGTGTGAAAGTATAAACCCAGTTCAGAATGATTGAAGTACAGCTGA